AGGTGGGTCTCTGTTGTAGTTTTGAGGCTTCTGGGTTACATGTTCAGTCCCGGGACAGCCAGAGCTACAGAGCGAGAGCCTGCCTCAAACAACAAAACTCACCAAAAGAAACAGGCAGCGGCACAGAAGGAAGCCCAGGGACACTGGACGGCAGCTTTGAGAGCATAACCGTCTCCCAGAAACAGAGGGCTCCACCCTGCTCTTTTGCAGAACACGTACATGGGCTATCTGGACTACCGGAAGAAGGCCATCAAGGACCTTGGCATCAGCCCCAGCACCTGCTCTTTCAATCCTGGTGTGATTGTCGCCAACATGACCGAATGGAAACACCAGCGCATCACCAAGCAGCTGGAAAAGTGGATGCAGAAGAATGTGGAGTATGTGTGTATGTGTGTGTGTGTGTGTGTGTGTGTGTGTGTGTGTGTGTGGTGGGGAGGGTGTTTCTCTGCCACTATTCCCAGCTGGAAACAAACAACTCAGCTAATCTTTGCATAGCTCAATTTAGAGAGAGAGAGAGAGAGAGATCTGAGGGCAGATTTTCATAGATCCTGTTGACCAAGAAAAGGGGCACGGGTGAGAATCTTTCCCCGAAGGATAGTCTGAAGAAATGGAGATGCTGTGAAATAGGGGATTCATTCCCTTTATTTCCCAAGTAGGTTGCTTAGCAATGTCTCTTCAGTCTTTTCCACCGAGGAAACTTCATTTATTTTGGGTTCCTTTATAGGTCTCCTTTTTGAGGGGGACAGGGTCTCACTCTGTAGCCCTGGCCTGCTGGCCTGGAACTTGCTATGAAACTAGGCCGGCGCCAGGTGATGGTAGTGCACACCTTTATTCCCAGCACTCAGGAAGCAGAGGCAGGAGGATCTCTGAGTTTGAGGCCAGCCTGATCTACAATAGCTAGTTTCAGGACAGGCTCCAAAGTTACAGAGAAACCCTGTCTTGAAAAAAAAAGAAAGAAACCATGCCAGGCTGGCTTCTTACCTCTGATATGCTGAGATTGCTACCATACCTGGTCATAGACCTACTTTTAAGGTTAATTTTATAGAAACTGAATTTAAAAAAGAATATTTGATACTTTTAAAGACAGGGTTTCTTGTGAAGCCCTGGCTGTCCTGGAACTTGCTCTATAGGCCAGGCTGACCTCAAGCTCCCAGAGATCTACCTGCCTCTGCCTCCCGAGTGCTGGGATTAAAGGGAAGTGCCACTATGCCTGGCTTAATTTTTTTCCATTTTTTTTCTTTTTTAGACAAAGTTATTATTATTATTATTATTATTATCATTATTATTATTATATGGTGGTCTGCCTCCTTCCTTCGTGTACAATTGTGTACCACAAGCATATCTGGTCTCCCTGAAGGCCAGAAAAAGGTGTTGGATCCCTTGAGTCATAGATGGATGAGAGTCACTATTTGGGTGCTGGGAATCTTGAACTTGGGTCTTCTGTAAGGGCGCCAGGGCTCCTAACTGTTGAGCTATCTCTCCAGACTTTATCTGTGTCTTACTTAATACTATCCTAACACCAAACCTGTGAGTAGTTAGAAATGATACAGGATCAGAATGTGATCTTCTGTGCCTGTCATAAAATCCTTGAGAGTGACAAGATAGTAACAAGAATTAACACTGTGAATCTGGGTGACATGCGTGTGTGTGGCCTTATATACAAGAGTGTGACCCTAGGTGATGAGATAGTGTGACCTTAGGTGACACACGCAGGAGAGCGTGACCTTACGTGACACACATGGGAGAGTGTGACCTAGGTGGCACACGCGGGAGAGTGTGACCTTACGTGACACACATGGGAGAGTGTGACCTAGGTGGCACACGCGGGAGAGCGTGACTCTACATGATGTGTATGGGAAGCTTCTGGTTTTCTGTATTTTCAAGTTTGATAATGTTAAAAATTAGAAAACCAAAACCCACACTGGAAGGTGGGTGTGGTAGCGCACGCCTTCACCCCAGCACGTGTCAGTGAAGGCACAGGCTTGATTCAGGGCTGTCCTCAGCAATATAGGATTTCATGGCCAATTTGCTCTACATGAGGCTGTCTCTAACAACAAAGATCCTAAGCTAAAAACGAAAAGTTGGGGAAAAGTGAAAGAGGAAAACCTTAGTCTTGTCTGAAGGACCACATTCGCATTTACTCGGTGTTTTCTCTATCTCACATCTCAGAGAAAACCTCTACAGCAGCTCCCTGGGAGGAGGAGTGGCCACCTCCCCGATGCTGATTGTGTTTCATGGCAAGTATTCCACCATCAACCCTCTGTGGCACATACGGCACCTGGGTAAGTACCGCCAGGAAACAAGGGATGTGTATATTGTACCCAGTGACCACCACCAGGCTACCTATAGCCTAGGGCTTCAAACCCTTGGGGTGACCTTGGCCACCCCAGTTCATTAACTCTCAGGCTCGGAATCTGCAAATGCAGCTGCTATCTTTAGCTGCAAGGTGGTACACTCTAGGATTCATGGAAAGCTTATGAACCTGGGCTGCAGAGGTGGCTCAGCAGTTAAGAGCACTGACTGCTCTTTAAGAGGACCCAGGTTTGATTCCCAGTACCTACACGACAGCTTACAACTGTCTAGAATTCTAGTTCCAAGGGATCCGACACCTTCACACAGATATACAGGCAATGAATGTGAAACTTAAAAAAAAAAAAAAGCTGGGTGGTGGTGGTGGCGCACGCCTTTAATCCCAGCACTCAGGAGGCAGAGGCAGGCAGATCTCTGTGAGTTCGAGGCCAGCCTGGTCTACAGAGTGAGTTCCAGGACAGGCTCCAAAGCTACACCGAGAAACCCTGTCTTGAAAAACCAAAGAAAGAAAGGAAAGAAAAGCTTATGGACTGATGCTTAGCATAGAATTTCCACTTTGCAATGTTCTACAAAACACTGTGGACAGAACTTACTGGTGTGTAACAGCGTACAATGGCCTTAAATAGTTGACACTTTAATGCTATTAAGTCAAATCTCATCATTTCTGTATACACAAAATCCCACCAAAACAGGGGTCTATAATTCTAAGAACAGCTGTGTGAAGCTGGGCTGGGGTATGGCTCAGTGGATAAACACTTGCCATGCAAGGTGGTGATGGCACACACCTTTAAATCCAGCCAGCACTTGGATTTAAAGCAGCAGAGACAGGAGGATCTCAGTGAGTTCAAGGCCAAACTAGTCGACAAAGTGAGTTTCAGGACAGCCAGGGCTACAAAGAGAAACTCTGTCTCAAAAAACCAAAACAAACACTTGCCACGTAAGGATGAGAACTATGTGGATCCCCCAGGACCCTTGTAAAAGCAACACAAAGCCAGAAATTCCAGGACTCAGGACAGGACAGGGTTCTTGGGGGCAACTTGGCTAGCTAGTTCCGCCATATTGGCAAGCTCTGGGTTAAAGTGAGAGATCATTGCTTCAATGCTGGAAAGAAAGTAAGAAACCTGGGTCAACTTTGGCCTTATACATGCACAAAGGCACGCCCACATGCATGCATACAAAACAGACACGTTGGCAATAAGGAAAGGGGAAAAGCACGTTATGATCCTGGAGCAGAGGCAGGACCACACCTGGCGAAGCGCCAACTACCGATATGCAAGGTGGTAAGGTTGGCCTATAGAGCAGAGCAATGGTTTGGAAAGGGATCTGGTTTTATTTTTCTTGGATGTGAAAAGCAACAGTAATGATAAGACATGCTAAGTTTGGGTCTACACAGAAAGACTTAACATCTATAAAGCAAATCAGTTAAAAGTAATCTTATCTCTTGGACTCAGCCCTCTGAGGCAGTTCCAGTGTCATGGAGCCGAGGTAAAGATGTCTCATGGATGCTGTCACATCCAAGTGCCTCTGCCCAGAGGTGGGCTCCTTTGTGGAGACAGCCAGAAGCTGGTAACTAACCACAGGCTGAGGTATAAGTTATATTTGCATGACCTTCTCAGAGTACGGTAGACTACTCTGAGGAATGGCAGTGTTAGGCTATGGTCCCTGTCTGACCCTTTGGTTTATTTATCAGCTGTGTGCGCTGTAGTGCCACCCCAGTGAGGTTAGCGGAGGTGTGACTGCTAACGAGGGACTTTTACCGTGAGCCTGTATCCAATGTTCCATATAAACTGTACTCACTAACAAGCCTGTCTTCCTCTGCACACTGAAGGCTGGAACCCTGATGCAAGATATTCGGAGCACTTTCTGCAGGAAGCTAAACTACTCCACTGGAATGGAAGACACAAGCCCTGGGACTTCCCTAGTGTTCACAACGACCTATGGGAAAGCTGGTTTGTGCCTGACCCTGCAGGGATCTTCAAACTCCATCACAATAGATGACATATTCCAAGTGCGCCTTGGTGTCCTGCTAACACTGCTCCTTACGAGCAGCAGCACCTGATACACAGGACCCGCAATGGAAGGAAAAAGCCACTGCGGACAAACCGAACCACGCACCACACAGGCGGACCTAACTTCTTGAAGTTCAAGTGATAATTACGAACTGGCTTGTCACCACCTCCCTCCTGCCCCTTTTCTGGTGTTTTGAGATAGGGTCTCACTGTATACCAGGCTGGTCTTGACTTGAGGACAATTACATCAGAAAACCTTAAAAGTCTCTAATTTTTCAGTTAGGTATTTTTGTAGCTGTTCTTGTTTGTTTTGGTTTTAAGATGGGGGTCTCTCTCTCTATAGCCCTGGCTGGCTTAGAACCTACTTATCGACCAGGCTGGCTCAAACTCACAAGATCTGTATGTTCTGCCTCCTTTGTACTGGAATTAAAGGCACCATGCCTGGTTAAGGTTTTTCAATTTTTAAAAGGTTGCCAGTTTTGTCTTTTATAAAAATTAAAAACAAAAAATTATAGATATTGCCAGGTGGTGGTGTATGCCTTTGATCCCAGCAGCTGCGCAGAGGCAGGAAAATCACTGTTGAGTTAGAGACCAGCATAGTCTACAGAGTGAATTCTAGGACAGCTAGGGCTACACAGAGAAACCTTGTCTCGAAAAGCACAACCAAAAAAAAAAGATATCTGTACAAATAAAATATTCAAGTTTTTATGATTTTTCTCATGCATTACTCTACTATACAATAGAAAGAAAACTGTCTTCAGGTCTAAAGCAAGGAAGAACACCATTCAGTCTTGCTATAGAAAAGTCTGCACCTTAAGTTTGGCTGTTCTTAACATTTATTCTCAAACCATGAAGACTTCATGTGAATTTAAAGTCTCAGCGAAAAAAATCACATGCTGTCATGTGCAGGAGACATCAGCATTCACTCCTCATCCCTCACCCATTCTCCAGTCATAATTTAAAGGTACTTCTCTACTCAAGGAAGCTGCAACAGTTATTACCGAAGCAATACACAGTTCCATGCTTTAGTCCCCTGAAAACAGTGACTCAGCTGATCCTAATCCCTGACGCAAGGCACTTCAGAGCACCCGCACAAAGTGTCCATGTAAACAGCAGGCAGAACATCTTTGCATCACATGACTCAGCTGCCAGTTTTGAACGGTGCTGTTTGAGTTGTCTGGCTGCTTTTCTGGGTGTCGCCGGGACTGCAGAATGTGATGACCATCCCCTCTGCAGAGGAGCTGGACTCCTTCAAGTACAGTGACCTGCAAATTTAAGCCAAAAGGCTGGGCCTCCGGGTTAACCTGCGGGCAGACAAGAGCCTTGAAAGTCCACCTGAATCCAGAAACAAGGGGGGAAAAAAAGTAAAACTCAGTGTGAGAATCAGTCTTCTGCAGTCTCCTGTGCAAAGACAGAGATACAGATTAACTGTGAGGGGCAAGCTGAAGGGAACCAGTTATGTCACCAAAGCAAGAAAGAGGCACATGACAGTCCATGGAGTCCCTAACTTCCAGGATCATTCTGAGAAAAGTCACCCTACTATATTATAGAATCAAGAAAAGCAGGAAAAGCAAGACCTCAGAACTACAAAGTCTCCACGTGTGACCCTACCGGGGAGTGCTTCAAAAGGCCAGGCTGTATTCAGGACCCCTAAGTTAAAGACCACAGAGAGGAAACCGGCTTTTGACCTCCAGGCAGGCCTGTCTCGTCCCCTCAGCTACAGGCCACACCGGGAAAGCTGAAACCTTGGGGCAATCTTGAGAAAATACTTCTCTGAAGGAGTGTGCGAGCAGAGTTAGCGTCCACGGGAGACCTTACAAACAGCCCTCTCCACACCAGGGAAGAACAACGCAAGAAACATGAGCAAGAACGCCAGGAGAGGAAAGCAAAGGTTCTGGAAGCAGCCCAGCGATCCTGCCGATGCCTTGACTCCGACTTCTTTCCTTTTGTGGATGTGTTCATCACCTCCTCCTCTACAGTCAAAAGCTCGGCTCCTCCCGAAACTTCAGTCCCAGTTTGGAGTCTCTGTTCTCTGTGCGCTATGGCTCTGAAAATACAGTCTCGCCCTAAAGCTCAGAACTAAGTGGCTTTCACCGACTGTCCTGTCCAACTCTGCTTTTTTTTTTTTTTTTTTTGAGACCTGTCCTTGGGGTTCTTGCCTAGGTTTCCCATGTCTAGGTCCTGCTAGTTCTGAGAGACAACCTGCGTCCTTTCCTGGACAGAGCGGTTCCCTCATGCAGCAAGCCACAGCAGAAGCCTGGCCTGAGAGTATGAGTGAGATACGGCTCACAGGAAAGGAGAAGCTGGAGAGGCCATCCCTGCGTTCACTGTCCGGAAAAACCTAACCACCTTACTGATTTGGTTATGGATCACTATTGCCTTGTTCAGATCATTTCATGTAACTGCCAACTGGCACTCATATTTTTAAGCCAGAATTCCTTGGCTCCTCCTACTTGTTAAGTAAGAGCCAAAGGGCAGAAGGGGCACCACACACTGGACCCTGGACTGGAGCAGCTGACAGAGCCTTGAGTTCTCTGCTCTGTCCTGGGACGATTCTGAGCTGTGGAATGCTTATGATTGTCATAAATAAAATTTTTATTTGTGAAAAAAAATAAATAATGACTCGTACACAGCTTGACCTAGACTTAAGAAAAAATAAAACCCATCATTGCAACAGCTACAAGGCATGTTATGATTCTTCCCTTATTTATAGGACGGACTGTGGAATATAATAAAAAGCTCACGGACATTTCATACCGCAAACCAGCGTGCTCCTCAGGTATGTACGCATCAAGTCAGAATAGTCATGAGCCATCAGGGTGAATGCAAGAGGCATTTCTGAATACGCAGTTTTAGATCCACCAGCCGAATGGGCTGGACGATTTGTAGCACCATGGAAAACGCACAGCAGCCCACAGAGGACAGAACTCCACAGATTACGGCCCAGAGTTATGGGAGAAGACGAGCTCTGGGCTAAAGCAGAGGTGGTGATAAACAGTTACAAAAGGAAACAAGTTGGAAGTCAACCTTTTCATGAGGTTCACTTAGTCCACAGTAACAAACAGTGACAGTAATTTTTAAATTATTGACTAAAATCTTAGTACATCCCATGTACACATAGCACCAGTTTAAAAAGAATTATCCTCCAGCACCGTGTGGCTCACCCTGAAAGTTCATTTCTTATCACTTTCCACATCACGGATAAAATCAGAAGAGTGATAAACACTGATGGGGAAATTCAGCAAATACACAATTGGCAAACTGTAAAAGTCTACTGCATTCTCAGGAACCTATCAGCTCAGCAAACAGTTTCTGCCTCTGAGAGGACCAACACCCAGGAGTGAGAGGCCAAAGGCAGGGCTCAGGCCCCAAGGCCAGGCTACACTCTGTTTCTAATACTAAGCAACTGCCATACACATCATTTGGAGAGTGTGACTACAGCCCCAGCTCCCGAAACTAACCAGACCCCACTGGGAGTGGGTTAGCTGCCTTTTCCTACTCTGATTCTTACTAGCATGCCCTTCTGAGGCTTTAAAGGGATCAGGGCATATTTAGGTATGCACAGTCAAGAATCAGCTATAAATATTCAGACTGTTGCATTTTAAAATTACACCAAACTGATTTCCCAAAGAAAACCCGTTTCTTCATAAATGAAATATAGTATATAAAAAGCTGGAATGATGGGTAATTCAAATACAAAACTCAGGTACAAAACAGCCCATTTTTTCCTTCCAAACTACATAGGCTCATACAGTTGACTCTACCGTACATACAACTGCTCCATATATAATTACACCCTAGCATAAGGAACTATTCCAACTAAGTCTTCAGGAGACCGAGGCTCTAGGTCCTGCCAACTGCATTAAAACTGCAGCACCGGGGCAGAGCTGAGAAACACCGCCATCAAGCATGGCTTCCTTCCTGCTCTTGTGTCCCACAGTTGTTAAACAACGGGGTCTGGTCTGTGAACGGCTGCGTCATCCACTGCCCATTTGGAATGTCGCTGGGAGCTGCTTCTCCTCTCAGCTCTGCACTGTTGGCTGCTGGGAAGGGAAAAGAATCTTAGGTCACTGTCAAGTTTCAACTGATCTCACTGGGAGATTTTTAAAAGGCATTAATGAAGAATTATTAAAATACTAAGTGAGTTTTTCAAATCAATGTCAAGTTTCTACTAGATTTTCAGATCATTTGTTGTTCAGAGAAGCAGATGCAAATGGGTTGGTTTAGAAGCCATGACTTAGGAAAATGATGTGAAAATCTTTAGTCACTTAATTGTAATAGTATTAGTATTCCTACATCACCAACAATTACTTTCTGTTTCTATTACATTCCCATCGCCTCCCGGTCCTCTGGAAGGAACAAATCTGGAGGGAAACATACTTAGCCCATTGGAAGGAAGGCTGCAGGGTTCACTATCACACGGGTTTCCACTGTATGCACTGCCGTACGCGGCTTCGTAGCCCGGATCATACTTCTCTTCCTTAACAGCCATCTTCTTCGCATCCTCTGTGGGAAGGTAGGAGATGAGTGAAACTGGGGTTGTAAGGAGTTTTCTATGCAAATTCAGCTGAGTCATATAAAGATTTGTTATTTGTGAGCGGCATGAGCCCATATGCATGCCGATGACCAAGGAGCCAGAGAGCAATGGATCCCCTGCAACTGGAGTCTCAGGGGGCTGTGAACTAAATCTGATCTACAAGAGCAAAAAGTTGTTTGTTTTACCCACTGAGCAAGGCACCCATCTCTCCAGCCCCATTTGCTATTTTTCTTAAAATTCTTTGCAAAATATACTAAATTAGCTCGGAAACTGGGAAAATCCATCACGCTCAGTTTTAGGCAGGGAGGTGCTCCTTAGACCCAGGACAGGGGAAGCTGTGGTACAAGATGTGAACAGCCACTAGAGTCCATCACCAGAGCATCTGGTTGTAAATTTCCTTCCTCTTGCTTTAAATCTACAACTTCCTTTCTGTTCTGTACACACGAGAAACTGACAAGGGAAGGGAATGGAACAAACCTTGTGCGAGCTGTAGGTCAAACGTGTATTGCACCTCCTGAATGTCCGTGTTCCGCTCAATGCCTTTCAGCTGGTCTCTTAAGTCCTTCAGCTTAATGTAGTAATGAACCTTGTCCTGGGCGCGAGGAAACTGAGCACACCTGGCACTGGAAGACGGCATGACGTAGCAGAGCTGGGATCGACAAGGTTTAAGTGTCAGAGATTTTAACATTTGACTGAATCTACTCATACTGCGGTTAGATAAATTTAGGCTTAGTCGGCTTAATAACTTAGTACTTAAAAAAGATGGCTCCCCCAGCGTTCCTCTCAAGTCTTGTCTTTTTACAGTAAACCCGTATCTCACAATTTAAAAGGAACAAAAGAGTGCAGCGTTGACGGTGAAGCCCCTCCCAGCTGTCTCTATTGCCTAGTTCCCTTGGCTGGCGCATCACTCCTGAGTTTCCCAAAGTGTTCGTGGGCGACCAGAGGCATCCAGGGCATCCTTTAATAAACATCACGCACAATGCGCTCTTCCTTCTCTCTCAGAGATGTTCTGACCAGAGGGCAAGGCAGAAAAGGCCTCCTATAACCTACTAACCAGAGTCAACTGCAGCTCAGGTTGTTTGCCTCCTTCTATCATTAACTCTAGGGAATGCTCCCAGAAACTGAATAAAACACCAGAAGTAGACAGCTACAGGGAAAGACACATTTATCATTTTGGTTGTTGACAAATTATCCTTCAAGGAGCAGAAGTTGCTTTGTCCTCTCTACACATAAGTGAGACAATGCACTACTATATTTATGGAGATTTTTAAAGTTGGTTTCTTTATTATATAATTATTTTTCTTTGAGGTTTCCTCATCATGTAATTACTTTTCTTTGATTATAGCATGTTTAAAGAAACTCCTAATTGATATGCTAGCATGCTTTATAACAGCACATTCTCAAGACATTCTTCAATTAAATAACCCAGAGTAGACTGGCTGGGTATGATGGTGCTTTAATCGAGCACTCAGGAGGCAGAGGCACAGCCTGATCTACATAGTGAGACCCACCCTCCAGGACCCCACCACACCCACACAAAGTAAAAGAGTAAATTGCTTTCTCCTTGAGCTAAATCATTATAAACATCAACAGCTTCTTATTCCATGGTAAAGAGCACACTAAGTGCAGGGCCACCGAGAGGATTGCCACAGTTGCCATAGTTACTTCTTGGCTGTCACTGACCCAGATCTAGGATCACCTGGGAAGAGGAAGGTTATCTGGAGAATTACCCAGATTAGACCAGCCTGAGGCCTTGCCCGAGAGGCACTTCCTTATTTTGGGTGTGAGGGCAGGCACGTAGCGTGTGTACAAGGGGGATCAGAGGACAGACAACATGTGGGAAGTAGTTCTCTCCTCCCACACATGTGTCCAGGCACTGAACTCAGGCTGTCAGGCTGTCAGAAAATGTCTTAACCAATTCAATGACCATCCTGCCAAGCCCATGAGGCATTTTCTTAATTGCTAATATATAGAGAATTAAGATGACAAAGTTTCTCTATATAACAGCTCTGGCTGTCCTGGACCTTGCTTTGTAGACCAGGCTGGCCTCAAACTCACAGAGATCTGCCTGCCTCGGTCTCGGTGTACACCATGTGGTTTTTAAAAAGCTGTGTCCAGGGCAGGCCTGGTAGTACAGGTTTATAATCCCGTCCTCTCCTCAGGAGGATGGCAATTCAAGGCCAGCTGCAACTGTAGAGTGAAGATGACTTGGGGCAACTTACTGAGACTCTATCTCAAAACAAAAGTAAAAAGAAGGCTGTGGACATAGCTCAGTAGCAGAGCATTTGCCTGGAATGTGAGAAACCTAGGTTCAGTCCCCAATACCAGCCTCCCCACCCCCGGACACTGAATAATAAAAGAGTGCTGTATGAAATCTATGTTTAAGAGGGCCAGGGTATAGCTAAGTGGCACAGTTACTGCCTGGTGCACAAAAAGACCTAGGTTTGACCTCAGCACAACAAAATAAAACAAGACAGCCAAACGCCTATTTTCTTAAGTACTAAACAAAACTGGAACCACGTGTCTGCAGCAAAGACTATGGGAACTAGTTAGAAAATCACTGTATAGGACTGATGGTAACTCAGTGGTTAAGAGCACTGATCGTGCTTACAGAAGACCCAGGGTTCAGTTCTCAACATCCACGTGGTGGCTGACAACTGTATCTCCAGTCCCAGGAAATCTGGGGTCCTCTTCTGGTCTCCATTAGGACTGCACACATGTACACAGACATATATGCAAGCAAAACACCCATACACATAAAAATAAACAGATAAATAAATGCTAAAAACAACCCACAGGGCTGTCTCATGATATGAGATATGTGACAGTAGCAAAAGAGGGGCTGGATGTTTGTCTAGCGTGTATTAAATACACAAACGAAGTAGCTAATCTTACCAATGAGGCTCGTGTTTATATGTACATCTAAATTCTTAAGTAACTGCCATTGACGATATTCTGAATGTCCTATGAGCCAGGTCCTCTGACATTTAGCTGACAAATACTTTTAAATAAAACTCTAATTGCATCTGGAAGGGTAAGCTGATACTTATTTACCAGAACAGACGGCTTTTCTCACGGCTAATGGCCGTGTCTGAGACAATGAGGACAGCTGGCCAGAGGCCCTGGCCTGCAATGTAATGGGAGGACTTACGGTTTCTGTGTCTGGGATCTTGTGGGGCTGAAGCCCAAATTCCAAGTTCTTGACCTTTACTCCAAAAACTTCCTTACTGAAAATTTCATAAATACCTAAAATAGAAAAACACAAACATATCTAACACTGCCCTTGACATTAGCATAGAGAAAATAAAAACTGTAGAAGTAAATCTTACATTTTCCATTAAACACCGCTATTCGTGGCTGGTATTTCTGCAGTTTCTGCACTAGGATTCGTCCTCCTTCCCGGAATTCCTTACTAAAATTGAAACAAGAAGCAGAGGAACACAAACACGGAGTGTACACAGCGTGCTACCTTCAGGCAGCTCTCAATGAAAGTCATGCACTAATGTCCCTAGCACACGACAGCCCGCACCACCACAAGCCCCTGCTCTACAGCTACCTGGACAGATCCTTGCTGCCTGGCGTCGTCCTCTCCACCATGTTGGTGAACCCGATGCCATACTTCCCGGGTAAGGTGTGGTCATCCATGTGGTTCAGCTGAACCTCACTCAGTCCTGACATGAACAGACACTTCCCTGGGAAAAGAGGACTCTGTCACTTCCACAGCAGGCAGAAAGCTTTTACCAAAAAACTGATGGAATAGCCTACATTACAACTGGAGGGAGATAAAGGACTTAGGAAATATTAAAAATTGTAACCCAGCTCTAATAATGAGAGCAGGCTGGATACCATGCTAATCTCTATGATGTTAGTAACCATTATTTTCCTACAAGAAACGAGTATCTTTGCACACATAGCTTCAAACCGTGTTCTTACCCAGTTACTGGCAATGCCACCATCTGCCTTTGGACAGACCTGGAGATTAGACTGAAACACCCCGAGAGTGGAGGAAACTAAAACACTTCCTCAGAATTAAAAAAAAATAACAGGGACAATATGGTGCTAGTTTCAACATTACATTACGATTTATAGCCTAAACATCTGGGATCTTAACTCTCTGATAAGGAGTGTTTATAGCCTAAACATCTGGAATCTTAACTCTCTGATAAGGAGTGTTTATAGCCTAAACATCTGGAATCTTAACTCTCTGATAAGGAGTGTTTCTTGAGGACATGCACTGCTCTAGTAGGCAGTGGTGAAGCGTCTGTGTGAACATCTTACACAGAGCAACACATATGAACATCTTCCATACACATAGCAACACGTATGGACATCTTACATACGCATAGCAACACGTATGGACATCTTCCATACGCAGAGCAACACGCACGAATGTCTTACATATGCAGAGCAACACGCACGAATGTCTTACATACACAGAGCAACACATACGAACATCTTACATACGCAGGGCACACAGTAGTAGCAGTGCCAGCTCACTAGGGAAGAATGAGCCCTCGCTGCTATCATCTTCCACTGGAACTATCTTTAGAGAATGTCTCAGTCAAAGCATTTTATATATAACTGATATCTAACAAGCAATGGATCTAAGTATGATTTTATGTGTATGGGTGTGTCTCAGTCAGGGTTCCTACTGCTGTGATAAAGACCATGACCAAATGCAATCTGAGGAGGAGAAGGTTCATTTCATCTTCCATCTCTCAGGTCCCACCCCATCACTGAAGGGAGTCAGGGCAGGAACTCAGTGGCACAGAGGCCATGGAGGATGCTCCTTGCTGGCTTGCTCAGCCTGCTTTCTTACACACTCAGGACCACCTGCCTGGAGTGGGTCACTCACAGAGATCTGGGCCTTCCCATAGCAGTCATTAGTCAAGAGAACACCGCACAGCCCAATCTGGCTTTTCTCAGAGAGGCTCCCTCTCACCAAATCACTCTGAGCTCGTGCCACACTGACAAAGAATAAAATAAAGACAACTCTAACAGGTGTTTCGCCTAGGGTGTTGTGCACCACTTGTGGGGCTGGTGCCAAAGGGAGTATCAGGTCCTCTAAAACTGTAGCTGCAGGCAGTTGTGAGCCACCATGTGGTGCTGGGACTCTAACCCGGGTGCTCTGAAGAACAGCCAATGCCCCACCCTCCGAGCCACCTTTCCGGAGCCACAATCGATACTTTCCATCTCTCTAAGGAAACAGCACTTAGAAAATCTGGGAACACCAATGCTTTTGTCTACACTGGTGGTTCTAAACCTTCCTAATACTACAACCCTTATTATAGTTCCTCACATTGTGGCGGCCCCCCAACCATAAAATTAGTTTTGCTGCTACTTCATAATTATAATTTGCCACTGCTATGAATTGTGATGTAAATATTTTTGGAGCTAGAGGTTTGCCACAGGGGTCATGACCCCACAGGTCTACATGGTCACAACAAAGTACTATTGTTACCATATCTATGGAATAAGCACACACACAAACAAGCACGCACACATGCGTGCACACGCACAAACAACTCTTAAAAATAAAAATCAAGGCCAGGTATGGTAGTGCATGCCTTTAATCCCAGCACTTGTGAAGCAAAGGCAGGGGGATTTCTGTGAGTTCAAGCCAACTTGTCTAAACAGTAGTCCCTGAACAGCCAGAATTACGCAAAGAGGCTCTGTCTCAATTACAAAAAAAAAAAAAAGTAATAACAATAACAAATAAATAAAACCTTGAAAACATCGAGCGAAGAGAAAGTACGGGTTAGCTGGTCGCAGAACATAAGCTTAGCGCGCTCAAGGTCCTGTGTTTACTCCCAGCTCCACAAGCACTGCAGAAGTGCTTTTCCACACCCTGCTCTCTAGTCTATCTATTGAACGTGAGAGTGACAGACCATTTCGCCTTGGTCTTCATGAACATGCACAGAAAAAGGAAATCTGAGTAAATCTGATTTGTATCATTCTCATAAAGTCAGCCTGATAATCCTGATACAAACAGCTCATTCTACAGTGCAAGCAGAACTTACAGAAGTGATTCCCAGGTCCAGGGTAATGGTGCCCTTTGTAAGCAGCCATCAGTCCCGGGTTAATGCCGATCTACAAAACAAAATAAACAGTTTATCTGTGAAAATAGGGCTTATGTTCTTCTCTATTAAATTAAATAAAATTCTCTATTAAAACAAAAAATGAGCGGGGGCTACTGACTCTGACTCTTCGGCCTACTTGAAGGACCCTTTCCGTCCTACTGTGCTGCCTCGCCCAGCCTAGACGTGATGGCCTGTGCCTGATCTGAGTGTAGCTTTTCTGCCACGTCTGGTTGGTGTCCTCCAGGAGAGAGAGGTGGATCTGAGGGGGGGGGGTTGCTGGGAAGAGGGGAGGGAGAGGAAACTGTGGTCCAGCTATATGAGAATAAAAGACAAGAAAAAAGGAAAAAAGAAAGCTGGGCTGTGGTGGCACATGCCTTTAGGGAGGCAGAGGCAGGCGGATCTCCGAGTTCAAGGGCAACTTGATCTAATAAGCGAGGTGAAGGACAGTCAGGACTACACAGAGAAACTCTGTCTCAAAAAACAGAAAAAGAAAAAGAAAAAAAAAAGAATGAAAAAAAAGAAAGAAAAGGAAGACCATTTAATAAGAAAAAAAGATCAGGGAAGAAAGGACAAGAGGGTAACTGGGCGGTATACACAAACAAAGTACACCATATACATATAAAACAGTGAAGCCTGGTATACTGCACTATTATAGACGCTGAAAGGAAAGAAAAAGTCAGGCTTAGGCCTTTGGACTTTTATACAGGAGCGGCAGATAAAATGGAATTGATTATAATTACTGCAGCATATAGAAACGACTTCCGAAAATTTGCTATTTTCAAAAGGCCAATTGGACTCCCTACTGAGACATGCCGCTTTCAGTCAGGGAAGAGGTGGATCTTCCAGCAGCCAGTCTGAGCCACATCCTGCCATCCTGCCAGCCTCCCAAACAGTCACTCTCTCTACAGACCGCCTGCGACGCTGTCCACTGACATTCATTCGGTTCTAGTTTCTTACAGTTACAGACCTAAGCTCAAATTAAGTACTGTCAGGCTGGCTCAGGCTCGTAACAGAGTCAGAGGTACCAAGGGTTGTTGCAAGTTTGGAGCCAGCCAGGGCTACACAGTGAGTCTATCTCAAAATATCAAGAAGCAAAACCACTCCAGTACCGTCATTTACCGAGAACTACCAACTATCATGCAACCTAAGTGGCTCACACGGATTATTTCATTCAATGCAACCCCGTGAGGGAGAAACTCAGGCTTCACCAGTGATGAAACTGTAAAGATGAAGGCTTGCCCATGGCCTTCCCTTGTTGGGAGGTTTGAACGCAGGCAGCCCCAATCTCAGGCTCACTTTTTATCCAACCACACATAACACAACCTCATGAAGGTAACACACCACTCAGCCCCCCAAACCCCAAGGTTTCTCAGAAACCTTCTGTTCAGAAGAATGCGATTTGTAGGAACCACTACTAAGTTAATCCTCTAGTGACATTTACTGTCAGAAAGGACAAAGATTCTTACGATCACAATGTCCAGATTGAAGGTCAAGATGTCGGGCAGCGTCTTGGTCAGCAGCTCAGCTTCGGAAACCCCGTTGAAGCGGTCCACTTTCCTCTTCACTTTAAACGTGTCCGTAATCTTCTCTTGCTTCTCTTTTGACTTTGTGGACTTGCCAGATTTTTTTGATTCAGCACGTTTTTTGGGTTCCACGGGGTCCTGGGGTTCTGATGCTCTGGTTTTTCTTTTTCTTCTCTTTGGAGCCTCTGAAACACAGGGATTTTCAGAATGTGGAATTCCACAGCAGCCATGCTATCCGATTTTCCCAACACTGGCTTCTGCAATGTGTTCCCCTTTTCCTCTCCCTCCAGGCACATGTAACTGAAGTGGGATTCCCCTCTGTATGCTGTGAATATCACTGGTTAATAAAGAAACTGCTTTGAGCTATAGCAGAGCAGGGCAGGGCAGGGCAGAACAGACCTAGGCAGAGAAAACTACACTGAATGCTGGGAGAAAGAAGGTGGAGTTGGGAAGCCAGAGACAGACACACTGGAAATTTGCTGGTAAGCCACAGCCACGTGGCGATACACAGATTAATGGAGATGGGTTAGTTTAGAATATAATGGAGATGGGTTAGTTTAGAATATAAGAGTTATCTAGAAATATGCTTAAATAAGTTATTGGCCAAACAGTATTGCAAATAATATAGTTTCTGTGTGGTTATTTAGGAGTCTGGGCAG